GGCTATGACCCTATGGAATAGGACCATAGTCCTTGACCATTTTTCCCATCCTCAAAAACCGCTTTGCGTCTTCTCGATTTTTCTGGATCGGGTCCACGACTGATGGTTTTACAAACATTACTCGATTGACAGGGGCGGACATTAATTTCTTTAGTGCATTACAATACACAGGTACGCACTGCACCCCACTGTCACAACCCAGTGATTTTGGTGCCTCGGCACGATGGAATTTTCTTGCCACATGAGAAGCCTCTTGCACAGCGAAGGTTTTTGCTGCACAGAAAAACCTCGGTGCAAGAGAGTTCCCGCCAATTTGTAGCCTTCTTTGCAGGGTGCATTTCTTCCTTGCAGCACAGAAATGCACGGTGCAAAGAGTTCCCACTATTCGAATGCAAATTTGTGTCCCGCTATTGGCCAGTTCTAAATTATTCACACGTGGTGGCTAGTAATCGGCTTGCTGGCCATTTAAAAATTTGCGCGACTTCCGCCCAAGTCGAAGAACTTTGAGCACGCTGCAGAGTGCCTCTAAAGAGATCTGACTTGCGGCTAGCTGATCGATAGACTGATCACCTATCGATCCTTCTTCCCGTCACCGAGCGCAATCCCAGACGTACCCTTTTCCCGCCGGCTTGATTTACGGACGGATTCACTGGCTTGGGCCCCGCCAGCTGGAACAACTCACGTGGTTGTTCAGATGACCGGACCAGCTGCGTCGCAACTCCACGCGGCGTAAGTAAACGTTTTTGCAACCATTGGACCTTGTCTGCCTCTCCATTCACCAGCCCGCCCTGACGAACGAGCAGTTTCTAACTCACCTCGAGTCGGCTCTGGCCGTCTGAGACACCCACAACAAATCATTACGAAAATGCATACCCCTGCTACAATTAAAAGGAAGATTTGCCTCAGCCATGAAAAATTAGGAAGCCAAGAAGTAAGCCATGAAAAATCAAATCCATCGTCTTGTTTGATACGTGACAGAATGTTTTGCAACTTTTGCACCTTTGACTCTATCAGCCCGGAATTATCTGTCAAATTGAAACAACACATCCCGTCGAACTCTTTACACCCGTGGTTATGTCTCAGCAACAGGTAATCTATGGGTGCTCTGTTTTGCAGGGTAGCCCCGCTCAGTTCTTTCATTTCAGTAAAGCTAGGGCCTATGAGGTCACGTTCAGGCCCTTCGCCAAAGCACAGGCCACTTTGCTTATCTGACCCTGGTTGGTCACCGCTAGGGCCGGTACGCCCACTATAGAGGCTGCTAAGGACACCGCCTCGGCCTTACTCAGGAGGTTTATATCACTATTACAGGAAACGTCTAGCGGGCTCGAGCTTCTTCGGCGGCATCTGTCAGAGGCTTCAGGCATACTTGGTAGCCAGACAGTTAACCTGCCGAGAGCACAGGGTCCCCCCCGGCATTGGCTGGAATGTACGAATAAGCAGTTTTCCCACAAAGGAGGAACCACCCTAAGGGCAATACAACATGGCCATTATTATAAGACACATTAGTTCTGTCTGAGCAATTAAAAGTCCCTCTCTCTCGGGTTAGATTTTTACAGACTTTGGTACAATTCACAAATTGGGCACAACTTGTGTTACCGGGTGAGGTGACGGTTAGCAGATCCACTGAAAAGGTACTGGCATTCCTTTTCGTGGTAATGGGTCTCCACATGGGATTGTTAGTAATTTAGTGAGACTTTTATCCCTCCTGATGCAAACCAGGTCTGATTCCAGAGTGCCTCCAATGGAGTAGGCACCCCTATAAGGCAAGATGTGAAAACATCCTGGATCGATGTTCCACCAGCCAAACAAAAATGAGTTGTGTTTAGCACCTCCTTTGCCAGATAAACCCACACGTTTTGGTTTTTCTCAAATTTCTGATGCGACAATCCCTCAGACCCTAGAAACACTAAGGTCATGTAAAGAACTGCCCGACCTGTCCCAGGAAGTTCAGCAAACTTACGGTCAACCGTCGGCACTCTTCCTGTGTGGCTGTTGCAATTAACAAATCGTCAACGTACTGCAACAGGGTTCCTGATGATCCTTTGTCCCACTTCTGGAGGTCAGCACTCAGGGCCATGCTAAAGATGGTGGGGCTGTTTTTGAAACCTTGGGGTAAAACTGTCCAGGACAATTGTGTTTTCCTTCTAGTATTCGGGTCTTCCCATTCGAATGCAAAAATTTCTTGGCTGCCTTTTTCAAGCAGGATGCAAAAGAAGGCGTCCTTCAAGTCCAGGACCGTAAACCACCTGTCTTTCGCAGACAACGTAGCCAGCAAGGTATAAGGGTTCGGCACCACCGGGTGAAGGGTCACTGTCGCTGTGTTTACAGCCCTAAGGTCTTGCACGAAATGATACTCGTCACTATGGGGCTTTTTGACAAAACGATACTCATCACTATGGGGCTTTTTGACAGGTAAAATGGGGGTATTAAAGGATGATTGGCACTCCCAGAGCAAGCCATGTTGAAGGAATCACTTTATGAGTGGTTCCAGACCTTTCCAAGCTTCCAATTTTAACTGGTATTGTGGCACCCTGGGTGGGTTAACCCCTGATTTCAAGTCAACTTTGATGGGGGTGGCCAGTTTTGCCCTCCCTGGCTTCTCTCCCGCCCATACCCAGGGTACTACGGTGTCTTCTACTTCGGGGGGGATTTTCCCTTCCTCCCCTACCTTTTGTAGGAGACACATCTGGACCTTCCAGGCCTCCTCTGTTGGTATTTTCATAGTGATTTTCTCATCTGAAAAGGTTAGTTGGGCTTGCAATTTGCACAGCAAATCTCTTCCAAACAAGGGTAGGGGGCACTCGGGCATATACAGGAACTGGTGATATACTTTTTTTCCTCCTAATTTACACTTCATGGGGGGCACAAAAGGACGATGGGTCTGTTGACCTGGCCCGCGCGGCACGAAAAAGGGCCCGGATCGCACCCAGCCCGCACATCTTCCAGTGCCCATTCTGTTTGCAGATGGCGCACTGGTCAGGTCCCAGCCTGGGGCCCTGTCCTCGTCCTCCCGGGGCGTAGCCTGTGCCCCCACTTCCTCTACATCTTCTATTTCCTCTCCCTCGTCCTCTGCCTCTCTGGTCTACGATTACTGCCGCCAACAACGACGCTTGTGTCTTCATTCTTTTGTCTTCCTTTTTTTCTTTAACCTGATCTCTGTTCGAGTATACCCTATAGGCGATCTCAATAACTTGGCTGATACCCATTCCGGCGGCCCCCTCTGCTTTCTACAACTTTTCCCTGATATCTGGGGCCGACTGCCCTATAAACAGCGTGTTAAACATTTTGGCATTTTCCCCCGACTCCGGATCTAAATCCGTCCACTGTTTGGCCGCCGTGCATAACCTCCCATAGAAACTGGACGGGTCCTCCTCCGGACCCTGCTGCACCTCATACAATTTAGACAAATTTTTCTGCTTAGGGATGGCTTCCCGAAGGGCGGCCAACGTAAGTTCCTGATACATTTCTAGACTGTGCAATCCTTCCCGGGTGTTGGGGTCCCAACTCGGGTTTGCCTTGGGGCAAAGTTCGACCACATCGCCATTCGGGTGGCGCTGTTGAGCCACCACGCGCACCTTTTCTAAGACCAACCTCTTCTCTTCCAGAGTTAAGAGGGCGGCCAATAAGGCTTGGACATCCAGCCAGTTCGGCTGGTGAGTAAGGAAAATGGTGGTAAACAACTGCACCATCGCCTCAGGGTTCTGGCGGTACAGGCCTGTTGACTGCTTCTAGTTGATCGAGTCAGCCGTGCTGAACGGCACGTGAACAAAAACCAGTTACCAGTCTTCCAGCACCTAACAATCTATGAATCAACGAATCAATGAGCTGTGGCTGAGATCATCCTTGAATTGAGAGACTGCTGATGACAACAATGCAAATCCTGTCAGGTGCATTGCATGGTGAGTGCTGTTGGGTGTGTGAATTTGAATCCCAAGATAAACCCAGCAATTTCACATGTGTTGTCTGCAAAGATAGTGAGTTCGTGCCCGGTGCGCTTTTGCCAATAAACACACAGGGGTGGAGGATCCAACTTAATCTTTATTATTCCAAGTCTGCGCAGAAAAGGGCGTACTTGGCGATCGTTCGCAAAGCAAGCACCCACCCAACCTAGTTGGTGTTAGCCTTATATAGTTTTCTCTCACCCAACACGCTGTGCAGTTACTATTGGTTACTTCTTTTAGCCCATGCGCACATTACCTTAGCCACAGAACATGCCCATACTTGCCTATGTGGCATCTTTTCTCAGCAAGCAATCTCTTCTTATCTTACATACACCACACCCCGCCCAGTGTCAGCAAACTGCTTCATGCATTTAGCTAGATAGAATTAGAAAAAGCGTACATCTTGCATACATCACATGGGAATCCTAAATTCAAATCGCCCTGCCCCAGTGGGGGTTTCCAGAGCTCTTTGCCACAGAAGAATGGCTCGGCTGTTCCCCCCAACAGAAATGGGGAGAAAACAAAGAGCTGATGCCTTAAGAGGGGACCTAGTCCTAGGAGAGTGACTTCCAGCCTAAGGTGGTAGAGAGCCTTGGGGCTAAGGTCTCACAGATTCACAAGCCTCATGCAGAGGAGGGCGTGGGCACCCTTAAGGGTAAGAAGGACGGTGATCTCTGGGCCCTAAACCCTGGCCCCAGAGGCTGGTGTGAGGCAGCACAGCAGCATCTGTAGCAAGCAGCATGCCAGGCAGGAAGACCTCAACCCCCAGCCCTGACACCGTCCTCAGAACAGGCGTGGCCTGCAGCAGGGCTTGCACTGCAGTCCCCCGGCCAGGCAAGGGTGGCGGGAGCGCAGGGAGAGCCCGGCCCAACTGTGCCCGCCGCAGCGCCCCCACTCCGCACAGTAGCAAGGGAGCGGACCCCAGCGCTACGTCACAAAGGGCAGAGGAAGGCTCCAGCGCCCAGGTCACAAAGGGCAAGGCACGGCTCCCCATCGCTCGCACAGAAGCGCTGTTGCGCCGCGCGGCGCCGACAGTGGGCGCTGTGGGGCGGGCGACGCGACTGGAGAGCCAAACGCGGAACCCGGAAGCGGTGGCCCCAGCAGCCGCCGTCCCACCCTTCACTACACATGTGCGGCCGGAGGGAGCGAGTGTTGTGAGCCCCAGGTTGGTGTAGGGTGGCGCGCGGGGTTGCCCGGAGCGGAGGGCTGGTGGGTTCGAGTCCCGGTTGCGGCCATCCGAGTGGTGCGGTGCAGCTCAGGGGCGTTGCAAGCGCCCTGGCCAGGAAAGCGATCCCAGTTTTGGCAGGAGCCAATTATTATTATAAGCCTGATCCTGGAGAAAGGGGCATGGGCTCAAGGGGACAAAAATCCCCACTGAGGAGGGCATGGGGGTAATTTCTGGGCACCGTGTTTGCTTGCATGCACGCAGTAGGGTTGCCTGCCCCCCTGGTGCCTCCAGGAATAGGATACAGATCTCCAAGAGAGTGCTGAGAGTCACCTGAGATAAGTGAGAGGGCATTCATTAACATAAATATGAGATGTCAAATCTGATTTATACAGTAGTCAAGTGTTTTTTTTTAAATGCAACAGTAATGTGCATTTGCCTTTCTGATGTAAAGTCTATGCACTGTAACCCATAACTGATACATACAAACACATGGGCCTGTTCGCCTCATGTGTTGCAGGCATGGTGGTGCTCCAGAAGCCCCCTGGTGTGTACAGGATGCAGTGTGCCCATAGTGTCATCTAGAGAGTGGAGTGTAGTGGCACTATGAAGAGTTTCTCCAGATTTTGGGGAAGGTAAAAGAGAGTTAGTCCTGATATACTGGGGGATTTTAATAGACCGTGTACTGATATTTAACATTCTCCATTGAAGTAGATATCAAAAGTGCATTACAACAACATGCGTGTAAGCAAATTTATATGAAGAATCTTTTTTTTTTTTTTTAATTTGCTATGTGCCCTTGGAAAAAAAGAATGCTACTTCAAGACTCTATGAATTGCGCTATGTCTAGGGTCATTTTAAAGAAGATATTTAACATTTGTTTAAAATTTCCAGAATACCTTATACTAGTAATTAATTTCAGAGAGATGGTCTTGGTCCTACTGTACAGTAACCCTAAGGCGACCCCTTAGAACTGAGGTTGAAGAAGGAGACATACATAGCGTGGAAGAAATTCTCCTTTGATTCTCATCAACTAGGAAGGAGATTGTTGTGGAACAAAAAGGAAATTAAGGCAGGCTTCCCGTGCCCGTCAATGTGCACATGCACGCACACCCCCCTCAGATAGATGCTGAACATCCGAGCTTGGCACACAGGAACTCCTGGGAAATTCCCTTAGGGTACCCTACCAACACTTTGGTGCCCTCTACACATTGTATCTACTATACTATTACCTGGTTTATTGCACAATTTAGACTAACTCATATACAAATTAACTGTTGTGCCTTAAAAAGGAACAACTGCTATAAAGTTAATGCTGGAAAATACGTAATAACTTTATAGCTGGTTTTTTTCCAGCTTTAATTTGCATGTGTAGTTTGTGCTCTTGTAGCTGAGAGACCACAGCTGTTGTGTTGAAACTGCAGTTGTTGGACACTGGTTTCCATATCCAGGCACTCTCCTGGATCCTTTTTTGGGGTTGGGGAGCAGTGGAAAAAGTATTTATTCTTCATGTCAGCATCTGCCTACTAAATATCCTATAAACAGGACTAGACAGACAGACAGAAAAACTTATTTTTATTTGCTACCAGAGTTAGGTTGGAACAGGAGACTATGCAGACTTCTGATACAAGAGGGGTTGCCCATCTCTGTTCTTGCATTCAGTGACTGCACTCTGTCATTGTCTTATAGTTGGAGTCTTCCTCCCCACATCTAGTCTTCTAGATCTTTACATTTGATCTTCAGCCTGTGGATCAAAAGAATATATTCTCCATGGTATCATAGTTTTTTTTTAACAATTATGTAGTGGGAAAATCTGTAAAGAACTGTCACATGCTCCATTTTATGCAAATATAGGATAGCTTTCAGGTTCCTAAGGTGTTATAAAACACTTGAAGTGATTTGTCCAAAAATAATTATGGTTATTTTGTCAAATGTCTTGGGATCCCTGGCCTAAATTTGAATCTGTAGATTGCAAAAAAATAAGTGTGTGTGTGTTCAATTACAATGGTACATTCATAGTCATAATAAGACTGTAGCTATCTATGGTGAATTACAGAGCATTGGATCTTGTTGTTCAGGTCACAATAGATTCATTACTATTTGGACAATTCATCCAGAACCACAGATAGAATATGTGTGATGTGAAGTTGAGTTTATTAAAGAAAAAATGTCATTAAAAATACACAACTGAAAAAGCAACCATGCTTAACTTTGCTTTAGGTTTACAAACAGTTAATCTAAATAAAACATTTTCAGCATCACTTTTTTTTTGTTGATGAAAACCAGAATTTATTAACTGATAGAGATTCTGTTTATTGGAGATTAGTTCAGTTTGGTTTCCCAGAACACAATGTTGGCCAACTTTAGTCTTTTAAAAGATCGTAGTTGTTAAATTACTACCATCTCTTTACTGTAGGTAGAAAAAAAGGGGGGCGGGCAGGATGAGAGGTACCTTTTGGAATTAGCAAGCTCACTTGCTTCCTGTGTACATTTTACTGAGCTTCTAAAACATCATGGGGGGGAAAGGATTTCTAGAATGACTGTATCAAAGGTTTTGCACTAATTGTTAGCAGTTTAATTTCCTCATAACAAAAACATAGGAATGCCACAGATTTCTCCCACATGGCGTGAAAGCTGCAGGGCATCTGTGCAACATTTCCTTTTCTTTCTTGTTAAAGGAAGAAATAAACAGGGGAAGAATCAGAAAAGATTGGGCTGTTTCATCTGAGAAACCTTAGCTTTGTGCAGATCCAGCTAGATGGGCTGCTTGGAATCTGGGTGTTTTAGGCACAATTGCAGATCACAAATAGTACTCATAGTTTACCTGGCTTCTTGCATGAATCAGCCTGACAGTAGCTGTCAGTGCTGGGGAGACATGAGTTATATATTGCTGCACACAGAAGCCCGACTTTACATCCTCCTTTATTTCTGTGGCATATAAGTATATCAGATACTTACAGGGGGGTTTCTATTTTATCCCCAAATCTCTTTTTCCTCCCTTAAATTTAACCAAATGGAAGAGCAGGGGCTTGTTAAATCTCAGAAACACTAAAAGCCTCCAGAACAGTTGAGGATCTGGCACAGTCCTGAGGATGCTCTGTGCTAGGCCCAATTCCCACCATTACTTAGGGCAACTGTTCTGCTTTGCACTACTTTCCCTGAGCTGCTGCTCTGGAGCATAAGGGACTCCAGACTGTACCTTCTGTGCTGTAACAGTTCTGCAGTGTCTGATGACATCTCCCATACAGGGAGATGCTCCAGCAGTTCGATCTGCCAGACTGCTTTATGCCAGTGAACAAAACAGAATGGTTAGAACATTGGACCAAGATTGGGGCTTTTTGCTTTAAAGGTATTTGTCCCAGTTTATATCAGTGTGATTAGGGTACAGCTCCCCTGTCAATCGCTCCCTTCAAACAGGTACTTAAATTGAAGTCTGAGGTTCTAAGTTATACAGAGTATAAATTCCAGGCTAGGCATCTTGAATAGAAATATGATTTCCAGTATAAAGGTTAAAAATGACCAGAGAATTCTAGGCTGCATCTACTATCTGTTAAGTAGATAATGACGTATCTTAGGTCTGTGCAGTATGTTTGATTTGTACATAAGATTTCTGTAGCATCCCATTCTCGTGTAGCTATTGCAGCCTATAGCTTTGTGACCCTGGCAGCATAGCATATCATTAGTCTCAAGAGTAGTTCTGGGTGATGATCTGCTTTTGAATTCCAAAGAATGTCTGCTTGAAATTTAACCGTACAGAGGGGGAAAAAACAAGACACAGGATTTTTATCAGGGTTTGTTGCTGGGGGGGAGGTTTAAGTCACAACTTTTGCCTGCTGGGTTGGCAGCAAAATATTCTGCCAAGTTTTAAAAAAAAACCAACTCTATTTATTTTGACATTTTTATCTTGGATGCAAGCAGGCCCACAAGCTACACTTTTGTCACGCCAAAACACATCTGGTCTTGGGCAGCTTTTCTTTGTGGTTATGGACATAAATATTTCTATAAATGACTACTGAGGCCACTTATTGTCAAGCAGATTTACATTTTTTGCAAAGCTTTCAAGCTGATCTCTATTTATTATGCAAAGCCCCATGCAAATCAAATAGGTTTCCACCTGGCTAAACCAAGTCAGACTGCCTAAATGATTCACAATGCTGGCACACCAGTCACCTGGAACTTCATGGCAACAGCAAGGCTACAACACAGAACCTGCTGCTCAGCCAGTTCCTTCCTGAGTTAAAGGTGGATGTTTGTTACCAGTAAAGAGCACATGGAATACAGTCAAGCAGCTGGATACAGTCATCCAGGATAAGAAAGCTACCACCTGCTCATTACAATGTATTCCATTTCAAATGACTATTTTTATGTCATTACTTACAAAAGTAGGTACTTTTCTCACATCTGAAAAATGGCCATCAAAGCCACATATAGGCAGTTTCTCCTGGGGGAGTCGGTGCTGTCCCAGGAGAAACCATGAGCGTACAGATGTTCAGGATTTTTCTCCAAGAGCAAAATGGCTGTCCCAGGAGAAAAATAATCGGGGAACAGCCGAGATTAAATCACTCCCAGGGAAGTAAATGTCTATACATGTTCTCTTTTGAAAGAAGCCATATCGCAGTCCTTCAGCAGCCGAAGGTGTTGCTACAACCCCCCTCAGGAGACAGTGTATCACTCAGCCAGCACTTGGCTGCATCACTCAAGGTGGTACCGTTCTTTTCCTGGATGGTAACAGATGCTAAACTGTGTTCCATATACTCTTTACTGGTAACAGACATTCAGCTTTAACTCAGCTGGAAGGAACTGGCAGACCAGCAGGTTCTCAGTTGTATCCTTTCTGTTGCCATGAAGTTCCAAGAACATGCTTCCTTCACAGTCCCACTTTGTGCTGTAGGGAGACATAAGCTGACTGAGTTGTCTAGGTCAGCTGATCAGGGCTGCCTTATACACTGCTGCCATCTGCCTCAAGGCAGACTGAGGGAGTCTGCAGAGCATGCCGAGATGTGTGCACAGGGGTCCCCTGGCTGTGCTGCTTGTGCACTGCAAGCCCCCTGCTTTTCAAGGGCTCAGCATTTGAGTGTCTGCTCAGGCATCTCTGGGTAAGTTTTTCTACCAGGAAACAAACCTGGGGAAATTCTCCCAGATCATCTAAACATGTGTACAGAGCCCACATTATATGTCACCACTTTGGTATGGTTGTAATTTAGCATAATAGATGCAAGAACTTTTATTTTAGCAGATGTTTCAAAACATGAAAGTTGCATTTTCTACTGAAAACTCTCCTGGAAGCACGGCAGGCCATCTCCCTCTCTCACTCTATTCTTAGCATCTGTTGAAGTAGGCTTTCACCTGTTAAAGCTTGTGTCCCTCTGACCAGTTAGTCTTTAATATGCCACCCTGCCTTACCTCCTGCCTCACTCTAGTCACCTTTTACTCCTACCTCCACCCCCAAAAAAGCAACACAACACATACGCCCTATAAACGAGATCTCTGCCAGTGCAGCCAGAGTGATGGAGCTGATATTGTTCTAACTATAGCTATCAAGTAGAAGCTGTAGAATTTAGCTCTACATAGAGAGGAGCTGGGAGTCCCAGTGAGCACAATAAACACAATCACAGCTGACACCTTTGATGATTTTCTCAGCAAAAGGGTCAAAGAATGAATAGGCAGGGAGATTAAAATAGTCTTTGGACTCTAGAAGTTATCCTGACAAACCAACATTAAAGCTCATTTGTGGGCTATTATGGAGGAAGCACTGTTGTTGCTAATGCTCTTCTACGGACAAAGGATTTCAGTCCTTAACACTAAATTCATATGAGAGAGCTCCAAATGAACCTCAAATTCATCAGTATCTTTTATAAATTAATTTGCTGTTGCATAAAGGATTTCTGGGTAATTCATTTGCTTTTAATACCACAATATTAAATCATCTTGTCTGCAGTCTTTTTTTTCCCTTTTTACTTGCTGCAGGAAGCATTATTTTTATGTTCTAAGTAGGTACAAAACAAGTTGTTTGATGGAATAATTTTGAGTAAGTAAAATATTTTATGTCAAGCAATGCAGCAAGATTGCAGTGGTTCAAAGCTCAATACTTTGCATTCTGTTAGTTTTGTGTAGTTTTTACTGGCATGTGTCTCATTGAAGTAGTGTATTTATGCTAGCATTTGTGTTAGAGAATTTTAACAAAGCATTTCAGCAAGAAAGTATAATCTAAATTTTAAACAGAGGTTCTTGAAGTACATTAAATTGTTATGATGTGTGCTGCATAGTAAGTCTTTTCCAGATTAACATGTCAAGACTGAACGCATAAGTGCTATGAAACTGGTTTGATTGCATTTGTATCCCACAAGTTACTGGAGCGCCATTTCAACTATATAGCATTTTCTGAGCTTTATCTTATAGTAAATAATTAAATGGTAAATTTTTGTTATTATTTTCAATAGGTAAAGATGCTTTGGTTTCAGAGCACAGCAGTGCAGCTGGCAAGATATTCTCCTAATCTGCTATGGAGACAACTTTGTGCAGCCAGTACAAATATACCAGTCTTAACTTTGTTCAGCAAGGTAAGTTAGTTCATTGCAAACATTTGGCCAACAGATCAGTGTCATCCATCTACAGGGCCCACCACTGAATTCCAGGGTATGGAGCCCCACTGGGAATACATTTTGGCAGTAGCAGGGCATGCAACTTGTAACACCTACAGTTCCCTAGCACTGCTTACCTACTGCCAGCGGTGGGTCCAGATCTGGTCTGCAAGGAACCCCATAGTTCTGATCCAGCCTGGGATCAAGTGAGTGTGGTGCCACTGGTTTATGGAACAAAGTCTGAGCATTTTAAAACATCAGCTTTGAGGTACAGGAAATCTTTGCTATTTGTGGGTTCGGCATTTGCGGTTTCAGATATTCGTGAATGCCAAACCCATATTTTAAATACACTTTATACACTTACAGAAGCTCCTCGGGAGCTCCGTGCTTGATGCTGCCACGCTGCCACCACTGGAGCCGTGCCCCACCCCCTTCCCCCAGCCACTGGGTGTTTTTGCCATTTCGCTTATTTGTGGATTTCGTCATTCGCAGGGGATACGAGAACGTATTCCCCTGCGAATGGCGAGGGTTGCTTGCACTTCAATTTCCAGGAATTGCAAGTTTAACTACACCCCAGAAGAATAGGTCAGGCCTTGTTTTTTTGGACGAAAATTAATTAATTTAGTACTGTGCAATTCATTGTCTTTTGAATGAGACCTCACAATATGGTTCTACTCTGACTGTGACTGTAGAACTCAAACAAGATGGAGTTGTAGGATTATTGCATCTGAGTGACTCCATAGGCATTATATGTAGCTTATAAGTAAAAACAATCCTTTGTTCTAGTTGCTTGCCTTGAAGACTCAACACAGATTTCTTTCTTCACGGATGTATCTAACCCACCAGGAGCATGCAAGTACATACCCAGAACTGTAAACATGGCTAGGTGGCTTAAGAGAGAGAACCTGAACAGCCCCCACCACAGAACCAACTTTAAACTGTAGCTTCCTCCCCCCAATCAAATGACACACACTTGCTTTTTGTCCAAATACACAATAGTTTATGCTTAAGGAACTTTCAGTTAAGAGCACTTTGCAGACTGTGTGCATGCAGTTGTTATAAGTATAGCCATCAAACCATAAAGAAGGTAGAGGAGGAAAAACTTTAGCCAAGGGCACTAAATTAAGCTCCAGTTCTTCTGAAGAGTTCAGTGGGATTCCTGCAAGTGCCTTTCTGCACTTCTCACTCTGTTTGGGATGTAGGCACAGTTATTTCAGTTGTCCCTCTCTCTCAGTCACTAATTTGTCTGCAGGAGCTCCTTTGATCCTTTTTGCCAAGAGAAAGCAAGATGGGAATTCAGGCTTACTCTGTTCCTTCACATACCAGCCCAGGACCTTGTACAACTTTGAGTAGTGGCCCAAAAGGCTTTACTGAACCCCCTCTCAGATTCCCTGGGCCTCTTCCCACCTCAAATCTCCAGGATCAGTACTCTTTCACCCCTTTCCAGGGTCATATCTCTCTGCATCACAGAAGCAGCTAAATCATCCCTAAGCCTTCAACATGGTTCCTCTGGGAAAACATTTTCCCTGCTAGAATATGTTGAGCATGAGGGTGGCCATCCAGACAAGCTCCTACTGCTTCAGTTTTCCAGCCCAGGCTAACTCTGCAATCCCAGTTTACAGCCTTTCTATTCCCAGGGAGACAGAGCCAGAAATGGTCAGCAGCCCAAGTCTTAAAGGGACTACTATCTGAGCAGTCTCAAGTTCTCTGTTTCAAGGTTTTGTAACTCCATTACACATGCTCTCTCACTATGACTTTTGTTTGTTTTCCTGTTCATAGCTGGAAAAATGTTAAAACTGCATTGCAGAGATATCAACCTCAAACAAATATCAGCAGTTGTTCATCAATGGAATGTGCATTATGTGAAGCAACACGTTTTAAAGGCCCAGCTCTATTTCCACCAGCTGATCCAACACCAAGTTGTTCATAATGCAAAAGGCAATAATTTAGGGAGTAATGAGATTAGTTTTAGAAGTTAGGAACTGGAAAAGACTCTTTTATGTGTTTTTTGTGCTTACAGCTTTGTAAGCAGTATGAAATCATGACAAACACATTTCTGATGGCAAAGTTGAAAAAGTTTTCTGATTTGGCCTGTTTTGTTGAACACAGTCTTATGTTAAAGTATTTTTTATATCTTGTATCTCTGCGTATGATGCAGGCTGCTTATAATGCACAGATTTGTGCTCTCAACTTGTAACCATTCACTCAGGGCTTGGTTATTTTTTAAGTAAGAAGAGTGAATAAGACTACAGCGTAAGTGAGAATTAGTTGTACAAATAAAACTGTCCTTTCAGCTGTTTGTGTTACCCAGCAGGTCTAAATATTCCTTCTGTAAGAAAACAGAATTCCTGTGGAGGCCTAGACAATTGGGAACTTTTGGAAAGACATTTATTTGGGTCTACACTACAAAGTTTTGCTGTCACAGCTACACTGATTGGAGGGTGGCGGGGGAAGAAAGGGGAAGGAAATCACATCCCTGAGAGCTATGGTCACCCCTCCCTGCATACAGATGTAATTTATCCTGTCAAGAGACATTTAGCGGTTACAGCTTATGTCATCTGGGAAGGTAGTTTAACTAAATTGTCAAAACAACTCCTTTGATGATACCAGCTTCACCTCCATGAGGGGATTTTGCTGATACAGCTGTAGCGTACTGTGACATATATGTAAACTGCTGAACGTCCCATGAAAGCAATTTAAGGCCTGTTTGCTGAGATTCTTGAGTAATCAAAGCCCACAATTATTTCTGGGAGGAGTTCCCACTGGAAATGAATGTTGGCACTGGTAAAGGAATAGAGCAACTTGCTTTGTTGCACAGGGCTTATCCACACAAGCTTGAACTAAAATAACTAAGTAGTTTTTAACTCTCTCCCTTACTTACTTACTTCAATGCAAGTTTGCCTTGCTGAATTTTAGTTCAATCAGAAAACATTTAAAGTAAGTATCCAGAGGCAGATTTGAAAACTGTCTGAAAGGTGTGAATTTAAAGAAAGCAAGCAAACAAACAAAAGACAGTGGAAGGTGGGGTTGACACGAACCCCTGTCTCAGTTTACCTAGAGGTGGAATTCTGAATTGGATGTCTAGACTGGTGGTGCTGCGTGTGCAGATGCTTTTATGCCAGTTGAAGCCTGGTTGTTATTTTAGCCTGTGCCTAGTAGCATACAGGAGCAAGCTAAACAGGTCTACACTGATAAAAATAACTGCACCCAAAGCTGCACGTTTAACTAAAGCTGATTTTAAACCAGTGCCAGATACACCGTGGCAGCTTGCCTGCTGATATGTGCCCTAAGTAAGGGAGAAGTACTGCTGCTTTATCTGGCTTTTTGCACTTACCAGCTTATCTGGCCAGTTTTACTGCCTTAGGACTTCCTGCAAAACTAGCTGAGAAAACCACTAGATTCTAGAATATCCTGGTTTTAGTTTACAGCATCCTCTCCATTACATGGAGCATAATTTTGGGTAAATGAGGAGGGCTGACCAGACACACCCTGGGCTCACCCACATTCTTTGGCTCTTTCAAAAGTTACAAACAAAAGCAGGAAAACCACTGCTGCTTGTTCCTTAGCACTTGGTATGAGGTTTCAAACATTAAATATCTGTCTATAAGGGAAAAATAATTTGAATTAAGAGTATTACTCTATTTACTCAAATCTAGGACAACTTTGTATTTAAGATGACTCCACAGCAATTAGATTTTGTACATGGAAAATCATAAAACGTCACCTTGGATTTGAGTAAGTACAGCAGTTAAAAGTGAGACAGTGGTTCCTGATGTATTCTCCCCCATATAGACAAACATTCCAGAATAAGTATATCCATACAGGGAATCAGGTAATAGGGAAGAGCTATTTCAGAATAAATCCCTATAGAGAAAAGTCCTAAGAAAGCTTTGGAAAGAGAGCAGGAATCGGCGTCATCTGACTGTGAAGATATTTCATGGCAGAAAGATAGTCTCATCATTTTTCCTCCCTACATATTATAGTGTGTTACTGCAGCCCAAGATCCACTGCAAGGAATACTGGTGTGTATGTGGAGTGACTTCATAGAAATCAGCTTTTCAGATATACCGGGGCATAACTCACAGTAGAATTAACTCTTAGATCATGACAATAACTTGCCTTCAAAACTCTGCACCACTGCATCAGATTTTGAATTTCAAAAATATTTTCATTGTGATCACAAATTAATGGTGGCGAAAATCCTGAAGGCATGAATTGTCCAACAAATAAAATGCCCCCTTTATTGCTTACATTATATTTTTTTAAATAAATCATTGACTATTTCAATTCACACTGCACTGGTGAGGATGAATATTTTGAAAGCAATGTGTCATTGGCAAGGAGCCAACATTTGGATGTGGTGGCTTTTTCCTTAGTATGTTAAGTGATAGAACAATAATCTTCATGTTCTACTGCTTCTTTTTCAAATTAACCTGAATATTTTCCTTTAGAAACCATGTCCTTTGTGTGATGAAGCAAAAGAAGTGCTTGAGCCATATAAAAACAGGGTAATGTAATACAATACTGTATATATTATATATGGAATGAATAGTTAATCAGGATCCTTCCTTTGTAAAAGGAAATTGCTTTGACTTATTTGTATCCATTGTTCTTTCATGGGCAATCTCTTCAAGAAAATTTCAGCACTGATTTCCATAAAACTCATTATCCAAAAGCATTTTCAGATTCTGTGACCCAAGTAGGTGTTAGAAAGTAAACCAGTGTGTATACAGTGTTGCAGAAGTTTTAACAATAGCTGCTTCTATAATACATACATATTTCTGAGGCTTACAGTGCAGTCTGCAGCAAAGCGATTGTGTGGCAGTTCAAATTTGCTTAGCCTTCGGTCACATTTCTGCATTGTGCTATTTGACCATAACTGGCATCTGCATGGGGGTGCACTTTGACCAGTTTTTGAGCCCCTGGTTGCTGAACCCACAAGCTAACGTGAAAGGCCCGATCCTGTTCCACCTGTTCAGCTTCTAAGCCTGCCTACGTGCTTAAGTCTGTTTCTATTCCACTCTGCTTAAGCCTCTGAAAAACAGTTGCTGCAAAAGGTGGATGGGTCCCCCTCCTGCTTTCTGTTTAAGGGTAAGGTGATGAGTTATTACAAAAATAGGCCCTTTAAGGTTTTGTCAGGGACTTGAGCAGGGTGGGATATTATCTGGCCCCACAATCTCCCACTGGGGTGCCAGCAGCAGAATGAGAATGACCAAGATTGTGCTTGGGTGGTTCCTCACTGTGGATATGGGAGTAATGCTGGGGCCCGAGAAGTACAGAATCCAAGTATGTGACCACATCTATTTGTGCCTGAAAACATGTATTTGCATGCAACATGAATGGGCAGAGATCCAGACAAATGAAAATTTGACAGACTTGGAAGCAAATTTTGCTTTCGGACAAAAGCGTTATGACAGTGTCTAATTTCCTCTAGTTTGTAACATCTAGTTTTTTTCCTTTCAAAGTTAATTTTGCAGGAAGTGGATATCACTCTTCCAGACAACGCAGCGTGGTACGATAAATATAAGTATGACATCCCTGTCTTTCATTTAAATGGGCAGTTCTTAATGAAGCATCGAGTAGACATCCAAAAATTTGAGAACCAGCTTGCAAAGCTAGAGTTGCAAAATGATGACTGCTAATGAAGAGGATGCTGCTAGCATGATACTGGATTTGAATCGAATTTGTAATATATATGGTTTGAAAGTGTTGGGTTTCAGACACTTTTTCCTGGAGTTTAATGTAAGTTTTTCTTAAATAACTGAAATGTGAATGTTTTATATTCCATTTGGTATTAATAATGAAGCTCATCTGACTGACTGGAAACCACATATTGTATTTTTCATCTGCTGCTATCTTGTTTAGTTTTTCATTCAGTGAACAAATTATGTCCTATAGCAGCAACAAAAAGAAACACACTTCCAGACTGTTAATATGGTCTGCACTGACAAAAGAATGTATGTCTATAAGGAAGCTTTTTTTTTTTTTTTAAGGGAGCAGGACTTAAAAAAAAAAAAAATAATCACATGAATAAATTGCTAAAGTGATTATTTTGAAGTGGAGTTATTACTGATGAAAAAGACACTTGAATAAAGACATCAAGTCTGTACTTGTGTAGTACTGTACCTTTCCTGAACCTGGGATTTAAGGCGCAGACAGAAATGACATTTGTCTCATGACTGGCTCCTTGAAGTCCCTCTAAAACCATGCCCAACCAGAAGACCACTGCTGCAGAGCCCTCTGATTTGTGCAACAAATTAACCCTCATTGTATGAGAGTTCAAATGAAGCCTCTCCTAAATAGAGTGACTTCATTAATTTCTGTCTGCTACGCTGCAACAGCAGCCCAGCTCAAGCTGCTGTCTCTGAATAGGACGGGGAGAAAGCAGGGAAGGGAGGTCCCTTCTGGGGTTTTCTCAGTCCTGCAGGAGGGGGTGGGGGGCGCATGCAGTGTATTGGAACCGCTCACCTCAAGGCGGAGGGGGGAGACTGCAGTCTACACCCCCACTCACACAAACTCCAGCAGAGCTGAAATAACCCAAGACGCAGCCTGTCTCCTTGGATTGGCTCCAGATTGGAGCTGATCCTCCACACTCCACCATCAAGAAGATTGGTCTAACTCATGGCGATTTCTGTAAATTGCCATGAGTTAGACCTGGGAGCTGCACTTTTGTCTCCGCCTTTAGTTGTTACTCACTAACGAAAACTTGAGTGGTATTGTTTAAAATGGGATAAACATTTTGCACTGAAGCCTGTGGTATCTATTACACTAAGCAGAGTAATGTTTGCTCTCTGGTACTCAGTTTTCCCAGCTGTATCAAAATTAGAAAAAGTATCAGTAAAAGTGAAACTGACCCAACAGGACCTAGTCTGGCCTGGAAAAAAGATTTATACTCCATACATGTCTCCCTATGCTAGTTACTATCTTCATTTTACTCTCTGGAAACAAGAAACCCTAACAGGTTCATTATAAGTCTGCTGGCATGAGATAACATAGCTTCCCCCTTAGGCTCTGACTATATAATTTTTAAAAAACACGCTACCTACATGGGTGTCTGACATGATTAGGGATGCTCATGTTATAACAGGTTTTTTCATAAATTGCCTATGAGCAAAGAAAACAGGGTTCTCTAATCATGTTATGGAAACAGTGCTTGGGCCTGTAGGCTAGCAGTCTTTTTAATAGTATAGGTTGGCCCTTACATTGTCTGACAGAATGCAGGAAAGACCCACATTTCAGTTCCATCTCTGACTTTCCTGTAATTTAGCTTAGTAACTGGCAAGGATACTGATTTTAGCAAGGTTTCTGGCAACTTTACTAGTGCTTATCCTTTACAAGCTTTTGGTGCAAATAATTGATACTCCTTAATTAAGTATGGGGGTGCAGTTCGATTAGAGAGAGAGATTGTTCGGCCTAATAGAAAAGCGTCTTTAATATTAACTGTATAGTATGGAAAAGTGTGATGTTCAATCAGTTTAGCCGGCCCTCTCAAAAACAAAACAAAACTATTGTGATTACTCTATTTCTGTATTTTTCATCACTGAAGATTATCCTGAACATCTTCTAGTATTAGGAAATTAAACAAGGAGACTATAAAGTTGGAGCATCTTCATTGTCATCCTGAGAGAAACCTAAACACAGACATACACAGAACCCTAAATTTACCAATTTAGGGAGGCGATTTTACCACAAAATTCCACATTAGTTTTTCAGAGTTCAGAAACTTCTCTCCTCCCCAAGACAGAAGGTGGAACTCATTTACAAAGGAGGCAGGAACATAATATCAGCCAAAAGAAAAAAAACCACAGTAAAAATATCTATTTTAATCTAACATCACAGGTCTGTTTTGAAGGAATCTCTACCAGCAGTTCAGGTTAGTCATTTGTCACATAGAACAGATGTCATAGTGGCTTCATGAGCTGGACACTACAACCAGCTGTTATTTTTGTAAGTGACCCCTCAGCTTGGCCTGGGATAACCTCGTTCTGTTCCTCTTTAGTTCTGTTTCTCCAGGTCCACAACCTTGATTATTTTGCCTATCTTGCCCTCACACAGCCATTTACACCTGGGCAAAGTAAGCACAAAAATGGGTGACAGACATTCCCAAATCAGAACATTTCACTGGTGCAAATGATTGTACCAGGGTAAGTCAGGGAGTGGGGGAATCGGGTATTATGCTTAATTGAAAAAAATGCACCTATTAAATGAAGTATGCTCCTGGTATTGGACACAGAAGCAAAGTTCTGTCCCATCCATAATCCTACACTTCTACCATTGAAGAATGTGGTCAAAGAGGAAATAACACTAGAGAGAACCTTGCCCACGATGCATAAAGAGGTTATGAAGCTAAGGTTACATCTTTAAGCAATATATTGGAAATGTCACTTCAGATCACAGATCTGAATTGTTTCTATATTAGGAGTGAATTTGGTGTTGAGAGGCCAGACTTTATCTGTCAAGATTTTTGTAATAAAATTAAACTCCTAGAATGTTTCAGGCTGGATATAAGGAAAAACTTCTTCATGGTTCATGTGACCAGGCTCTGGAATAGACTCCCAGCAGGGGTGGTACAGGTACCTACCTTGGAGATCTTCAAAAGGAGACTGGATGCACACCTTGCTGGGGTTATTTTACCCCAGCAGTCTTTTCTGCCCAGAGCAAGGGAACTGGACCCGATGATCTCACGAGGTCTCTTCCAGCCCTAAACTTCTGTGAATCTGTAAACAACACAGTATAGCACTTTGCAAATAGATTTTCAGATCTATTGATGAAAATGTGTAAAGCATTATCAATCTTCTATACAGGTAGTTGACAAAGGTTATGTAACCTAACCTACTCTTCCAACGAGCTTTAGTTCAAAGCACCCCACTGCTATTTTTCAGCACAGGGACATTGATACCTATTACGCTCCAGGGGCTTTTAATTAGCACAGGTCTTGGAGCCATGCTAATTAGAGTCCCCCTGCCTCATGGAGTATGTCTATAAATGCCCTTAGTAGCAAGTCCTGTGGCCTTCCTTGCAAAACACAAATTTTCCCCGCAGTAACTCAGGAAAAGGCTGCTGGTTTTCCCCCAGTGCCAGCTTCAAGCCTCAATATGGGACTGAACTAAAAGATTTCACATAAAATATGAGTTATTTGTATGCTTTAAGAAGTAAATCTGATGCAAGAGCAGTTCATAGTTATCTTCTGTTCTGTCATTGCTAGCTCTTAAAGAACACCAGGATGAAATCCTGACCCCTCTCAACACAACTCCCACTGACTTCAAGTAGTCAGGATTTCACTTCAGATCTGTAATTTTTAAATGGCTCAATTAACCACATTTCCTTTTGACATTCTTGGGGAATTAAGTGATGATCAAGCTTGGGGTAATTTAACATTGTTTCTGCGTGGTGGGAGTGGGGTTGTGACTGAGGAGAAACCTGGACTATGTCCTTCCTTCCCTGTATCTTACGACTTGTTCTCAGAAAGACAAAAGGAACGATATTGGAAATGCTACATGGAAACGTGCATGTGTGCATTTTTTGCATTTCCATGCAGTGTACAGCACCTCAAAAACACGTTAAGCTCCCAACCAATGCATGCGAATATGTACACTGATGTTTGTTACCATGAGAAACCACAAGCTCCTGGTAAGCCTAAATTTAAGCATATATGCTATTCTGTGAAAAACTGCAATCTCCACTTTTGGCAGAGTGTGTTGCCAGGAATCCCTCTAATACCTGTACTGCAGAAAGAATTTGTATATGTAGCAACTTCCTTTCCTACTTCTGTCCCAGTTAAAAGAAAGTCACCCCAGCTTTCCTCAATACCTATAAGTAACAAAACTTTGCCAGTTTTTTTTTGCTATGTTCATATGCCTGTACACTGTACCTTCATACCCAGTTCTTTGGCTATTTATATTTTCAGATTATAAAATTTATAGGGCAGGGATTATCTCATTTCTGTGTTTGTACAAGAGCCATCATAATGTGACCCCAATCTGAACTGTGTCATCTGTTACATGACTGTTTACTTATAGGAGTACCCAGTCCAGGTTTCTCCTCAGTTCCTCCCCACCCTACAAAGTTTGTCATGGAATATGGACTGTCCATTCAGTTTCAAAATTTCTAAATAAAGAAAAGGAGGCCAGACACTTTAATTATGAAATGGTAAAGGGAATTAAGATGAAAATCTATGTTTTGGCTGCTTAATTCTAAATCAACATGAAATGATTATGCCACGTTTCAGTGTAGCCTTCTTCTCCAGCCTTGCAAATACCTGTGCACATCTAGGGCTGGCCAACCAGCAGCACTTGTGCCACAAGTTGCGTGAACAGCCTCTGTGTGTGTGGTAGATTTGCGAGGGGACAGGCAGCACATCAGCAGATAGGGCAGAAAGCAGAACAAGACCAGGCAGACAGCAGGAAGCAGAGCAGCAGATCAGATGGAACTGAGATTTAAGTGGCATTCGGGAAGAGCATGGGACTAATTTGTGGCATGCCTGCCAAAAAGTCTGGCTCCCACTGGACTACAGTATGAATGGGCCATGCAGGATCAGGATAAACATTTCTCCTTGAACCTTCTGAAACGATAGCAGCAGTTTCTAATCACCTGTATTTAAAAATATTCTATAGAATTCCACATAAATAATCCCAGGCACTGTAGTTACACAATTTACACACTTTCTACTATCTGTAGTTGGCTAGGAAACTCCATCTCATCCAGGCTGACTGTAACAGGACCTGTTATTCATGCCTTCGAGTGTGGCTACACATTGCCTTATGGCAATGTAGCAACATGGTATGGTGATGCAGCGATCACGAATCTACATGTGATCACCAGCTATGTCAGCATAGTGATGCGCTCTCCAGGTCTAGCAAGCTGCTATGGTGACAACGGCAAAACTTAGCCGCGTGCCATGCACACAGCACAGTAACTGCACACCCGTACTGTGCCATGCTTTAGTACTTCCAAAAGGAAGTACCAGTACTTTTGGAAGTACTACGCTGTGTCACAACCCAAAGGGTGTGATTTTTGTTTTTGTGTGTGCTTTGGCACCACTGAATTATTTTCCCGCCAAATTGTAGCTTTCTTTGCAGGGTGCATTTCTTCTTTGCAG